AAGATTAAACAACTTAGCAAATTAAGGGCAAAGGATATAACCAAAATCAGGCTTAAATCTCATGTCTGAGATGTGATATATATATAAAACTAGTATACACATAATATATTACTAGTATATATAATATGTTACTAGTATATTATATATTGCTACATAGTATATACAACTCTAATAAATATATAGTAACACATAGTTATATATGATACATTGTAATGTTATATAATATATCATGCAATGTATATTAATCGGTTATATAATTATACTTATATAATATATAGTTATAATTGATATATAATAGTAATCTGTCACTCTATGTAGTACTATGTGTTATATACAACCATATATTACTATTTAATGTATATATTAGAGTAGAGATTATTCTAGAGTTCTTTCTTCAAACATCCATCCTCTTTAAGATATCCATTTGACAATCTTCAACACTGCATCTCTGTAGCTCCCTTGCATCATAAAAACTCACGGGGCTCTGTTAAGTCAGGAAAACAAATGTCTCAAAGCATCGAAGCAGCTGGTGGCCAGTATATGCATGAACTAAGATATGCATATAAATTAATACAAATAATTACACACATACATGCAAACTCATGCACACACATATACACATCTGTTAAGGCTGGGTTGCCTGGCATTTTTGGCAGTGTAGAATGTGAGATGACATTAAAATGTCGTTATATGAGCTTTAGTGGTGAACAGAAAAGAAACTGGCAAAGAAATAGGTATATGTTTTCTCTCTCTCTCTCTCTCTCTCTCTCTCTCTCTCTCTCTCTCTCTCTCTCTCTCTCTCTCTCTCTCTCTGCCATCTGTTGAATCTTTCTTGGAATTCACAGGCGCTACAATTCTAAGATCACCTAAAGGTACACCCACCCTTTCCTGCACAGTTTCCTTTACTTATGAAATCTGAATATTCTAATGAGATGCTGGTGGATGACAGCAAATACATTTTTCAATGTATTTTTTTCACATTAATTTTTATTTTGGGAGTGTCTCTCTGTAACATGGAAGGAACTGGAAAAATATAGGCAAAGCAAGTGTTGACACATTATAGGAGTTTCGCATTTGGATTCCCTAGCTGCATATGATAAACTACATGTGGTTAGCCACACATGTGCAACTCAGGGCAGCTTGATGAATTCTGGAATTTATTAAAATGTAAATGACAAAGCAGAGAAGAATGTGCAGACACTTGGATTACTCCATTGACTGAATACTCTATACTGTATCTATTTTTGTCCAAGCAGTGGTGGCTCCTATTGTGGAATGCCAAATGGAATATTCCATTGTAGGGCATGAGGAGGGGGACTCCCTTTTAGGAAACTGAAACCTGATCATTTAATTTTTAATTTGCTTCTCCAAAAGATGCAGCTTGTCAATACTTTATACAAGAAAATATGGTAAAGTTTGTCCTGTGATTATTAGAAGACAATCATTCTCAACTACTTATTCTGTGTCCATTATTGGACCTGTAACTTCATTCATGAAAATAATGATTGATGTGCGTGAAAAAAAAGGAATTAGACAACAGTGTGAGGGATTTGGAACAGAAATATGAATTTTTCAACTTTGTAGATGCTCAAACACCAAAATATGCATCAGGGGAACTATGTGGACACTGATTTCACTTTTGATGGCTTTAGAACAGAAGTTCTCAACATGTGGGTCACAAACCCTTCCAGGTCAAAGGAACCTTTCATAAGGGTCACCTGAGACTATCAGAAAACACAGACATTTACATTGTGATTCATAACAGTAGCAAAATTACTGTTATGAAGTATCAATGAAAATAATTTTATGGTTGGGGATCACCATGACATGAGGAAATGTATTAAAGTGTTGCAGCATCCGGAAGGTTGAGAACCACTCGGCTAGACAATGGAAAAGCACATTTCCCAGTGTGGAATTACATGCTGTGGAAATGGGGCATAGAGGACAGGTCTCCAGGACTCCATCTATACGAAGAATCTGAAAGTTGGGCACAGTGGGTAGGTCACAGAAGCTATTTTTAAAATAGTAGTTCTTTGTTAATGCCAACTTTTCTTTTGAGGACAGACTGACAAATTTCACCTGTCTTGTGAAAAGTTAAACTGAACATAATGTCATGAAATAAAGTAGGTGGAAACCAAGCATGCAAGAGCACAATGCAGTTTTTCATTTTCTCTTCCCACTGTGACTTCTGTTATTCCATGGCAGAGTGTCCTTCCTAGTTCAGAGTATAGTTAAATGTAGGCACATCTATCTTTGTAAGAATATTGCTAGAACTCCTGAGGACCCCAATCTCCCTCTTCCTGGAGTCTCCTGGAGTCTCCTGGAGTCTCTCTCTCTCTCTCTCTCTCTCTCTCTCTCTCTCTCTCTCTCTCTCTCTCTCTCTCTCTCTCTCTGTGTGTGTGTGTGTGTGTGTGTGTGTTACACATAGATACATGTGTGAGTTTTGTTTTAACAAAGAGAATTTACAGTGCTCACATTTGACGATTGGTTTTTAAAAATTATGATCACAGTGGATACTGGTTCTTTCCTGGTTTGAAGATAATTTTATTTCCTGAGGCAGTTTACTATAGCAAAAAGGTAATTTGTTAAAATTAGAAACTAAATTTGGCTCATATCTAAGTCATTTTCTTGCTGATCTGGTCAACTCACTGATTAAGTATTGATTTGTCTTCAGAGGTAATTTGACAAATAAAAAAATGAAATGAAGATAGGTTCAATAAATGATTTTGACTGTTCTCCTTTTGGCTGTAACCTGTTAGCAACTGCCAATACTAGATTCTTAGTTTTCTTAGTATTCATTATTTATTTATTTGTTGTACAGAAGATCGAAGCTAGGACCTAGCACATGCTAGACAAGTACTTTACCATTGGGCTTCATTCATACCCAGCCTTTCTTAATGCTTTATTCTGAGGCGAGGTCTCACTTACTTTCATAAGCTGAGCCTGAAATCACTGAACTCCAGGTAGCACTTGCATTTGCAATTCTCCCACCTCAGCCCCCTAGGCCTGACATCAGAGCTCATTTTAATATTATATTCCCATAGGCTAAGAGTTTTCAGCTTTTTCTGCCTACTCAAAGCTTTATATGGGCTTTGGAAAGTAAAAATCTCAATTTCCAGAATAATTTTAGAAGAGACCTGGGTATCAGTATTTTAACAGCCTAAGTAGTTACCAAGGACAACTGAGGTAAGAAATTATGTATTGGGTGCTGCAAAGTAACTAAAATATTATTCATTAGAGTTGTAAGGACCACATCTGTCCTATTTCCTGTGCATCCCTAAGACCCAATAAGTACCTGGCCAGTATATGCCATACATATAATAAGCATGTTCCCAATAAATAATTAATATTTTAATAAAATCCAACTAATCTTTCACTAAACTGGAACTGATCAAATCTATTGTCTACTTGAGTCATTCTCATTTTGACCTCACTGACCAAGTGAGAGCTCAATTTTCTTCTTTTATTTTCTTGTAGATACATAAAAACAAAGTCATTGTTAATCCTACTGGATAATACCACTCAGCTATCCTTGGGATAAAAGGAAGGGAATCATTTGTGACAACATATCCTCAAGACAAGGAGTCCTTACATGTCCAAAGATACATCTCCTACATAGCACTGTGGCTAAGGTGAAAGAAATCAGACTATATCTTGCTAAGGAGCCAGAGGAGCAACTGATTCAGCAGATATTCTGAGAGGACTAACACTACACTGTGAATGGCTGCTGTGTACTTTCTCAACCATGCTTTTATGCTAGTGCCCTAGATATCTTTAGATATAATGAGTTAATGTCCTTTGTATATAGCCCTGTTTTTGCTATATTTGGGATAATTCAGAGTATAGCCATACAAGTCATTTTTTTGTGCTCATGATTCAGATTTAAAAAAAAACCCTAGTTTTAAAATCATCACTGATAGAGAGTGAAATGACCAACAAAACAGAGTGCTTATCTTCTAGTCCTGGGCTGGACAGGATATCCATATCAATAAGAAGTGTGTAGCCATGCTGCTGATGGGGAGTAGGCACTGGGCACATGTGCCTGCCATTCATTATTTCAGATGTAGTTGATACAGATGAAGAACTGAAATTCATTTAATATTAATTCACCTAAGTTAAAAGAACTACCTATGCTGTATGGCTACCATGCTGGACAACACAGGTTTAGGATCTCTGACAGAGAGAGGAGTCTGGGACAGAAGCCATCATAATACTCTGTGGAATGTCTAACAATATGCTATAAAAGTGCCTTGGTGAGGAAGTCAGCATACCATTGGTGATGTCTTCGGTGGAGTCTTCTCAGAGTAAATGGCTGCTAGGATAAGACTTGAAGGACAAATGATAGAATTTGGGAGGGATGGTAGAGAGGTATAGACAAAAGATTACATGTGTGAAAAACTGAGGAGATGAAGGGTAGAAGAAAAGATGGAGATGATGGCATGTGCACAGGAGGGAAAAGGTAGATGGTGACTTGATGGGTCTAGAAAACTCTCCTGGAGGAAGAAGTCAGAACATCTGGTTCTCTTGGTGCCATGATATCTCAAGATCAATGGTAATTATAAAGAGTTTTAGTCCCTGGAGAATGATGTTTATGATTTCAATAATTCTCTGGATTCCACTTGACTCTCTGCGGGGACTCCTGGTAGGATGAGGCAGCATTCCAGGTGGGGAAAGATAAATAATATTTTCTTACTAAATTAGCACAGGAAATGGGAAGAAGCACACTTATCTGAGTAGAAGAAAGGGGGGGAAGCCAAAGTGAACACCGAACACCCGGCCATGGTGTGTGGAAGGGAAATACTGAACCTGGATTTCTGACTTGGGTAGATGACATTTAAAGGTGATAGGGGATCATTTAGAAATTGTCTCTAACTTAACATTTTTTCTATCCCATTAGATATTTGGTCAGTATGAATCACAACTAGTTTTGATTTATACATATACAAGTGAAATCAAGCTATGAGAGCTGTCTTTTCCAGTAAATCCACACAAGTTCACAATTAATGCAACATTTCTTTTATTGGGAGCCAAGGACCAAAGAAAGTCTCATAAACTGTCAACACAGTCACACTCTGTGCCTAGTCTACTTGTTAACAATAAACCTATTTATTTATGAGCTCAGTGAGAACAGAGTAGACACAACACTTTGAAAACAAGACAGCTAGAGCCATGATGGGGGCTACATATGACTATGTCAAACAGCGAAGTAGAATGTTACATCAGTTAAATATCCAGGTCTCTCAAAAAGTTAGGTATCTGTCCCTTAGCAGACCTAGCTTAAATGTCTCCTTTGAGACGAAAATCACAATTTGAACATCTATGTTAACTAGATGATCACTTTATTAACCACTGTTAAATGCCAATCAAGAACAGAGGGGCTGAAAGTGAATAAATGAGGATTACAACACAAAATGACTAGTGGCCATTGTTAATACTTAAGTATTACTGAAATAGACATGGATAAGCATTCTCAGCATTTACAAAAGTTGGTCATTGGTCAAGACCATTGAGAAGATGTACAATGGGAGATTGGATCTATACAAGTGAACCAATGACTTCATGATTGGGAATATTATTAAAGATATAGTATATGTACAACTGTGGCTATCTGTATTTTTGGGGGACAGATCATTGACAACTTCTTGACCCAAATACACTAATTCATAGCTGTTTTTCACAGTGACATGAGGTGCCAAAGAGGGGAAGGAACTGATGAGATCTACTAGATCCAATCTAAGAGGCATTCCTTAATCGCATAGGCAGAATGCCTTTTTTAATGAAATATAAGTCCATGCTTCTTTAGGGCATGGTGGAGTAGTTTAAAAGCCATTGAAAGATAACTGAGGACCTAGTTTCTAGTCATTGCTGGGACACTTCCAAATATGTGGTTTGTTTTATTTTGTTCATTTGGGTTGGTTTTTTTTTTCTAAGTTACTCAGCTTACAGGCTATGGATTTATGTTTTCTGTCAAAAAGATATTGTAACAGGTAACTCAAGGCCCACCACCCTTAAAACTTTGAGATTTCTTGCAGAACTAAGTCAAAAATCTCATTATGTCAGACCAAAATCAAAAGGAAATGTCTAAAATGATAGCAAGCTCTCCACCACTAAATTTTCGATCTTCTGTCATGAAATACATTTATCATTCTGGTGTAATTCAAATAAAAATGTATTTGAAGAGATCATTGAGACAATAAATAAGCAGAAGAACTATTTGTTTCCATAGACAGACATTAATGACTATAGGGAAAGGGACAACAATGTTGGTACTGATCACAAAATTCTGACTTCAGGCTTCAGCTCATGTGTTTTGTGATAGCACCCTAGCCAAACTCAGTTTCATCACCTGGGAAGCAAGGGATAATGTGTAATTTTCATGGTTTTCATGAGATTTATTAGGCAAAATACTTTCTATATGGAGCAAATTTGGTAGCTAGCAACTGTGAACAGAAGAATCTTGAGTTCTGCACAGGTGCTATCAATCACCTTCACCTTTCTAGTGACAGAGAACTGGAACTTTAGTTGTAGTTTGCTTTAGGTGACTTCTGGGGTACTGATTATTGGGTGGAATCAAGTTGACATGAGTATTTGCAACCCCCAAAATTCACCATGTGGATTTCCTCCACCATGTCCTAGAATACTATTATGTCCACCTTAAAGACTTTATTTTCTCCTATCTACCCATTTATCTAAATTTTTATACCCTTTATGATTCATTTCATATTTCTCTTTAGGGCAACATTCTCCCTTAGGCAAGCCATTGTCTTTCATTTTATTTCTGCTCTTACTGTCTACCGACTCAGTTTATCACTACATTTTAGGTAGCTTTTGTATCCTAACCTTCACAAGCAGCTGCCATATGTCACAAAGGCAAACTTGCTGCTCAGAGTCTGGGGGCATGATGTGGTGTTTCTGCGTGGTGGCATAAATGTCTCTGTGGGTCACCTATGACAACATTGTTTTTCATTTTCTAGATCTCTCTCAGGAACAAATACTATATGTTGATAAAAATTAGTCTCCACAGAAAATTCAGTCTCTTCATACATTAACACACTGGTACAAAGTTGCCTTTACACAAACACACTAATAAGCATATCTACACTAGGACCAAAAATAGATGGCAAGTGAATCTTGAACACAGACAGACAAATACACACAAGGAAGGGCATGTTCTTGACTCATCAATTGTCTGCATCATTCTGTTTCTTGCAAAGATTACTATTGGCTCCAACTGTACCATATGGGTGGCTGCTGAGGTATCTTCAGGTGGTCACTTGCTTTGTTTCAACTTCACAGTTGGAATGAATGTCCATCAGTCTAGCAGTCTCTGTAGTCTTTATCCTTTCACTGGGAAGATATTCCTGAGGAAGGGGGCTATAGGACCAGCTGAAAGGAACATCAGTGCAACTAAAAACATAATAGAACATGTCACAGACAGTTATCACATTGACTGTTCAATGGAGATGAATTTGTGACACCTTAGGGACAATGCTATTTATAACTGCAGCAGAAATGTTACATCACTTGAACAACAAAAAAGTGACTTTCATTCATTGTTCCCCTTGCTCAAGGATCAGTCAAGCAGTGGTCTTGTCCCAGTGTGGACAAAAAAGCCCTACTGAGAAGCATGCTTCGAATCTACCCTCACTGAAACAGAACACACAGGCAGAGAGAAAAGGACATCAGGACACATTCAAGTAAGTCCTGGGAATGATGATGACCTGAGTTGGCTGTAGGTGCTTAACTGTTTAGCAATGCAGGAGTGAATGAAGGCACTGGAATTATTAGGCATTAATTGTCTTGGTCTATCCAGTGCCTGGCATTGAACTTGGCAATGGTACTTAAAGAAAAGGAGAGTGGCAGAAGGGGAAGGAGGCAGCAGAGTAATAAGAAAGAGAAAGGAAGGGAAAGAAAGAAGAAAGAGGTGCATGAATGGAAGGAGGGAGGGGAAATGGAGGGAAGAGAAGGAGAGAAAGTAGGAGAAAGGAAAAGAGGGCAAAAGTAATGAAGGAGTGCCGGAGTTACCGGAATATTGAGGCACACGGGAAGAAAAGTAGTCAGATACAAGCATATTAATGGTGTCCAGACTGAGGAATGAAGTCTGCCTTAATAAAGAAAGTTCTACATTCCAGGTGGTTTGAGAAAAAAAAAAAACCGAGGTGGGGCCGTTTCCAGGAGACTTTGAACATGTCAGTGTTTCATTTGGAAAGTGTGTTGTGGTCCAGTGACCATTGTAGACCAATAAAAGGAACATTACCACAATTCAAATGAACCAAGGAGAACAAGAAACACAAAACTTAAAGGCACCAATCCAATGGAGAAAACAAACCACACTACAAGGAATGACAGGAGCGCAGAAGAGCTGGTAGATAGGGTGTGGCCTAAAACAGAAAGGCAGGTGTCTGTTTGGGCATCTTCCAAGTCAATATTGAAGGATGTGGTTTTATAACTGGGATCAAGAATTCACTTCTCCCATTGGGTCGCTTTACTTTTATTTTCATTTTCTTTTATTTTGCCCCTAGGCTGTTGCTTTTTCAGTCAGCATCCCTTCCAGAAAATGAACTCCAATCTTCAGTGCTTTCTCAAGAGAGCAAAACAGATTAGTAAATACTGAACCCGGAGGTAGAATCAGGTGTAACTTTGAAGGGCAACTGATGATACCAAAAGACTCTGGGTTCATGGGTTCTGGCCTTATTCCTATTACCCACATACTGTAAAATGGCTTCAACAATTCTGAGGGCTGTAAGAACTGGGAATCTACCTAGTCTGACCCAATCACTTCACAGATAAGGATATTTGAGAAGAGGGGTATTAATGTTACTTTCTTACTCTGCAGGAGTTGTTGTGAATGAGAAGTACTTTGCAGGTGGTTTTAATTTAACTAAAGCCTTTGACATAAGCTTCTCCATTATACTCACACAATCAAAATGCATCAATGATCTAGGCACACTGAATGGGCAATGTATTTTATAAACAATGATATTGAGAATGGGGTGCTAAGCTTTTGGCATCCATGCAATATTCAATTGTGAATAAATTAGCATGATATTGTAATAAGGAAAAACATTGTATATAATACTTTTATGATTCATATAGATAGTAATTAATGGAAAGTCTAAGAATATGTGAGAAGACAAAAACCAAACTATTCATTGCTTTGGAGTTACACAGATCAACCCCATGCAAAAAAAAGGTTTTTATATAGTATAAACACTATCAAAATGAATTTTGAGGGTTGAATATGCAGCAGACAGTAGGAAAATGAACAGATTTTGTATGCTTGTCACATGTTAAAATTTTACAGACCACTTTTGTTTTTTTGGTTCTATACCTACCAACTTGCATTGAGTAGTCAAGTAGGGCCTTTTACTCAACACAAGGCTCTTTTGGGATCCCTTTTGTAATTTGAATGTAGAAGCAAAAAGTGAGACCCTCAAATTGCCTTGCTCAGTAATCATAATTCTCCAAGTTTGTCTTGACAATCTCATTACCTACTGCACATAGCCAAGTACCAGGCTGGCCAAACAACTCACTGTGCTTCTGCCTGGCTTTTTTTTCTTGATAGGTAGATCCTCATGGGCCAGCTTGCCGGAAGAGGCTCCCCAGTGGAGCCATCAGTAGATCTCTGGAATCACATTGAGGCCACAAAAGGGAACTGAAGTTAGTGCATAAGAGTTTCAGTTACTCGTCACGTGACATGTAAAATGGAAGGGAAAACAGAAAAGGAATTGTTTATTATCGTTAATGGCTTGATTATTTTGATTAAGTTAAAACTATTATCTCTGAATAATGTCATTTCTCTAATTCCAACAAAGGAAATGTATTCCTTATGAGTAATATTTACTACTCTGATGTTCTCCATGCTTCCCAAATTATCTAAAGTCAGGATAAAGAACAAATCCACAAAGAACTGCAAATATTTTGCAAAGAATTCAAGTGTCTCCAGTGATAGCCCTTCAAGAGATCATTAGTTTTCAATATCTAGGTTTTTTGCTTTTGTTCTCACACAAGTACTCAGGCTGCAAAGTCCTTTTATTCTTATATTAATTAACAAGGAATTAAAAAAAATAAGCTGGCTTAAAAAGCATTCTACTCGGGAGCAATTTCAAGTGATGAGACATGCCCAAGGGTGGGGGTGGTCGACAAACTCAAGTAGGCTACATGTAAAGCAACGAGCAGCTATATGCACATTAGTATAATTACAGATTGCAAATTATATCGGATGTATCTAATATCTAATTTTTTGAAAGCTGATTCCACTTGAGACTTCAATAACAGCATCAACATTTTGCAGGTGGCTCCTTCTGTACAGTATCCAAGGGGAATTAGTCTTCTAATGTGCTTATAGCCCTCAAGTTAAAACTAGATCTCCTGCTTAAAGGACCAATGAACAATGAACACTGAGAATAACACCTTGACAAAGGAAATGGGGAGGGGTGTTACCCTGGATAACATTGAGTACAATTACTTATTCTTTCTGTACCGTGAACATGATACTTGCTTCAAGCAATAAGGAACTTCAACATGCGTCATTAGGAAATGTGGGAGAGCCTACCTACACACTGAGGAAGTCTACTGAACAGCTAAGCGTTGGCCATCTATTAGATCTGCAGATAAAAGAAACATATGCATCTCAGTGACATGTTATGCCTTTGACTGCAAATGGAAACTCTTACATTAAATTCAGATCATTTAAGACAGACGTCCAGTTCCAAGCTTAGTGTTGAGGAATTGGCTTTTGTCCTCACGCCCTACATGAATCAATCTCCAAACAACTAAAATATATTTGAGGTCTCGGAGAATGAAGCATATTCTTCGAGTTGATTGGATCCATTTTCTTGATTCCTATTTAAAGATCTTTCTGCTAATTAGTCGGGTTTGCTGTTGAATTATTTAATTATCTGCACTTTTGTGCAATGAAATATGTTGTCATAGCACACACTTTACAGTGCGGTGACTGCTCCCATCTAATGATGCCTCTATAGTTAGTACTTTCCTTTGTTCTGCTCATAAGTGGTTTTAGAAAAAGGGGTGGGCCCTGGAGGAGGAGCCTCAGGGTTTGCAAAATAAAATCATACATTCCTGGTGTATGGGCAGAATTTGATGCATTTATATGAATTCCATCTTAGAAATCAAAGCTGAAGTTCCATTCTGAACAAGCCACAGCACATGTTGGTGGCATGAGATGTAGCCACGAGGCTGTGAGTGTACCTTGAACATCTTTCTAGTGAGTATTCACTGCAACACCATGGGGAAGGGACTACTTTTTTTTTTAAATCAGCAAGGAATGTCTTTAACGAGGAAGAAGTAAATTATGATAATTACTCTGAATGGTCGGATCCTTGAGCATCACTAATTAGCATTTATTGCCTGGATTATAGAACGATACAAGTGAAACCAAACTGCGAATGCTCTTTTACCTTGAAGACTTGAAAAGGCAATGGAGGAAGAAGTGGGCAGCCACCTCCCTGGTGCAGACTGTAGTCAGTCCACCTCTCCACAGCCTGGAGCCTCCCCCCTTGTGGAAACACACCCATATGGTCCTCAGCACTTCCGGCCCATTCATCTTTTTGTGTTAGGCTCATATTTGCATGGGCTATCATAGTTTCAAGAGACTGATGACAGGCAAAACATTTTGGCTATCTACCATCTGAGGACAATATCATCAGTTGGGAGAGCGTAGCAATAAAGAGCTGAAACACCATGCTTCATAAAAATATGGAATTCTTCCAGAGAAATATTTGACTTAAAAATAGAACAAAGACCTCAGCTCTTGGCAAATACAATTTTACATTCCTTTTCTCACTTGCCCTTAGGACTAAAGGTAAAAAAAAAAAAAAAAAGCTGAGAAAAGATGATGGGTTTCTGGTATAAGGACTGTTTGCTTATTTAATTTATTTTCCACTAGGAATCTGTGATAACATAGGTTCTGAAACTAGAAAACAAAAATTAGATATTGATGGTCAGACTGACAGTACAGAATAAATGCCATTCATATAATTTGGCAGCTGAATTTTTTAAGTAAGTCAGCAGATAGAAGGAGAGAAAGGGGAAAAAATTCCCTGGGCCATTTATCATTCTGCAACCCACGCTGTTCTCTATACCCCATTATAGCGAGTGAAGAGAAAGACTGTGTTCAGCCAGAAAACGGGACCTAAATACAGTCACTGGTCTCCCAAATACCTTCCGCAGTTTCCCCACACGCTCCCTTCTGGTTTGTAAGAATAAGTTTGACTAAATCTGTGAGGAGATTTAATAGACTGGTGGAAGAAATTAATTCTGCCGAATGAGCAAAAGCATTCAAGTTGCCCAGATGCAAATAAGACAGATAATACTTTTCTTTGCCTTTGACATGCTAGGCGGATTAGTTTAGAATGTTAAATCTGATTTTATTAGAATATATTAGCAGTGTTTTAATTAATACCAATCAAACGTTTTCTTTCCCTGGGGCTTGAAAGTCACCAAAGCCTTCTGTTACATTCTCCTTACTTTACTGTATTCAAGGGAAAACTGTAAACTTTTTCTAAAAAGGTGTTTTGCCCATAAAATTGGTTCCAGGTGCCAGATTTTAAAATGAGTACTCCTCTCTAGCTTGCTTCCTTAAAACAAAACAAAAATAATTGGAGTTTGAAAATTAAGCATTTTCTACATTTTTCTCTGGGGTAAATATTGCAAAAGGAGTTTCAGCTGGTTCCTCTTGTTACCAGTGGGTCTTCTTAAAGCTGCTGGATTCCAACTGCGGTGGTTTTGAGCCGGCCAAAGAGAAGGACTTTTTAAAAGAAGGTGGTGGTGTTAGTGAAGGAGTGTGTGTGTGTGTGTGTGTGTGTGTGTGTGTGTGTGTGCGCGCGCGGGCGCGCGTGTGGGCGCACACACATATGTGTAAGCTAGTTAAAAATCCGGTGAGCCACTGTGTCCTGTGAACTGAATTGGAACTGTGCTCCAAGGAGGTACAGGACTGCATTCCACTCATTATCCCTCCCTTTCTCTCCAGCTTCCTGTCCTTCTGGGCCGGAGCTCCAGTTCCCTGGTCTCTGTTCTTCCACTACTACACCCCCACTGCAGCTCTCCGCCTTATTTTTTTTTTTATCTGCCAGGCTGGATTTGTGCTTTTAAAGATCAGTATCAATAATAGCCTGCTTGTTTCGGTTACGCTCTCCCTTTAAAAGACAGTCCCCTCTAATTGATGTGTCTGGGCTAGTCTAGACTGGTAGTGATTGAACCAACCACCAATTATGTTATTCATTTCACTGAACTTCACTGATGGGCTCCATGAGGAAGAGGGGGTGTTTGAGAAACCTGCCCTTGCACTGAAGCAGTTGCCTGCTGAAATACAGAAATCTGTGTGTCGCACGCACTGCTGAGTGCCTGGGCAACCAGCTTTACAGTAGCAGCCCGAGAACAGGAGCAATTCACTTGAAAACATGGAAAAAGCAGGAGTGTCTCCGAGTACAAACTGAAACACTTGCATTGAATCATGTCCCTCTATCATTTGAAATCAGTGAAAAGACATCTGTCATATCTTTATTGATCTGTGCTTACATTCCTGTCACATCAGCTGCATTCATATTTTGCCTTAAAAAAGCACCAAATGCTTGCCAATCTTTCATATGTTTGATGAGCTACTGTATTACCCATAAGTTAAACTGATGCACCACCATAATTTGCACACAGTTATGCATGCACATTAGCTGAAATGGGATGGGGAATCATTAATCATTTTATATAAACTACTGGAAAATCTCTTAAATAACTGTAAGTTTCGAAGCACATTCTACCAAAGGCTGCCAAGTAACAGTTAAATTGCAACTGTACAAGAGGTTTCAACAAAAGACGTAGCACAATTGTTGCACACTTTTCAATTCAGCGTTCGGATGCAAAATGCTTTCTTGACTATAATTTGGAGTAAATGGGTAAAATTGAGATCGGCACTTAAAAATATGACAAGAGCAGTTTCCTTCACCTTCTACTCCGTGTGTACAATGAGGTTACAACCATTACAAAATCTTTCAAAGATGAAAGCATTTGGAGTCTGGGTTGATTTAGGTATTTTCCAAAAATGGAGAGAAAGGTTGAGCTGAGAAGAGTAAAACTGTTTCAAGGAAACTGTATGCCCGAATTTTCTGCAACAAAGGGAAGGTACGCTGTGTCCTTCTTCCCAATGTGAAGCAGACCTGAATCACTAAATTACCCTTCCATGAAAAGTTATAATCCTAGAAAACTACAGATTAGAAAATGCTAACAATTACCTCAAGAGAGGATCATTTTTAAATGTGGTTTGGTATTACTAATAACTTTGTCTAGTTGAATTAAAATCCTGATTAAAAAATCTTTCCAGTTTGTAAAGGAGAGTCATAGGCATTGATTTTCTCCAAAGAATGTAATATGCATCCACTTCTTTCTTTCATTCCATAATATTTAGAAAATTCATTTCTATCCTTATCACCTTTAAATTCATCAAGCATAACATTTTTAAAGAGGTACCAAGGTGGTTGGATTCCTCTTTCAAGTTTTTTAGAGAAATCTTGCAAAGAAACAATTATTTTCTCTTTTGTAATCCCTTAGGTTCCTTTCTTTGTACTGAATACAAGAGTTGAATATTTAACCTATTAATTTATTCCAAACCAGTGGTTCTAGCATACCTATGTCAGAGAAACCATTCTCTATCATATACGATACGGGGGCAGACAATGCAGATATAATATATTCTCATACGTTTTAACTGAGCACAATTTTGAGATTAACTGCTGAGTTTAAAAGTTGGAGGCATGGGGCATGCTGGGACTTCAGTTGAGATGTTCTGAGGTCAACCACCAGGTACTGAGCTGTTGGTGTTACGCTCTGGTAGTACTGCGTGTTGCTCTCAAGGAATAGACCCTGCGGATGAGTTTCCACCAGCCTCGGTGTCAGCCATGTACACAGGCGTCCATAGCAGCCAACACAGGATGCTAACAGTCTATGTCTACTTCAACAGAAGCCAGGAGCTGCCACACTCTGGTCACCTGATCCCATCTAACAATGGAAGCCTCAGAGGTGTACTCTCATCACTTCTGACAAACTTTCTTTTATTTTCTTTCTTTCTTTTTTTTTCCTTTAAAAGACAAAAAGTTCCTTCGGCGACGCAAAGGCACGACTCGCAGCTCCCAAGAGCCTAACCCGTGGATTTAAACGGTAAACATCACAAGTTAGGGTCTCAGGGACTGAGGGGAGCGCAACACAATTTTTTTTCTTTCTTGAGACAAAACAAAGCAAAACAAGAATGACAGTCAATTTCGGTTGCAGACTCGGGACTAAAATGCAGCAAACAGGTGGTCCAGTGTGACGATATCCTGGCTTTCTAACCCTGGTCCCTTCACAAAATTTAGATAATTTCTGACTCCATACAGTTCTGCATACGCAATACATATACCCAAACATGCAAATGCCAGTTAGATCAAAGAAAACTTTTAAGCTTTCGGCAAATAGTTTACTAAACTGGGAAATAATATGAATAGACTCAGAAATGTCTGTTTCTATTTGGTTAATAAAATAAAAAACCGTGATCTACAATCGGGATTAAATGTCTCTTTAAGGCTTTCATTTGTAACTTTCATTCTTGCAATGACTAAGGAGAAGAAAATAACCCTCTGCCTTCCCCCAGGGCAAGCGTGCCACATGCAACAATCCTAAGAGATGGGGTTTGGGGGAAGCAGGATTCGGAGGTTAGAAAGGTTTTTGAACTCACCCATTTGAAGTGGAGCCCGGCTGCAGAGCTTCCAGGAGCACCATCCGGACCCGGGGGGGAGAATGTGAGCTCGCAGTGCGCTAGGCTGGGCGAGGTGTTCAATAGGACAGAGAATGGGGCGGGGAGGGAAGGCGGGGGCAGGAAGCGATACTCCAAAATCGAGAGAAGACCAGACCGTAACTCTGTGGTTTATGCTTTGACCAGGAGTGGGGGTGGGGGGAGAGGCAGTTGGGTGGGAGTAGAGGGAGGGGCTGGGGTTGATCAAATTTGGAAAACAGTCGGTTAAAAAATTAAAATTGAATAAATCGAGAGAGAAAGAGAAAATTTCCCAAGGATTGCTTGTAAAAAAAAATTCTTTTTTCTTTTCCTTCTTGTTTCTCTAACATGCAGAGAGTTCTGTCAGCCTTGCAAACTGGGCCCTCCTCTGCATCAGCTGCTTGCCTGAGGCCAAGGCCAAAATCACCCAGAGCGAGCACCAGCCTGTCATTTGGTAGACTCAAAGTGGGAAGGGGTGGGTGCGAGCTGGGGAGATGCTCCCCCCACCCTCGCCTCCCGCTGCGGATCCTTTGAAGCCTTTGGCCAATATTTCAGAGGAATCCAAGGCATAATCCCCCTCCATCTTCACAGACAGCCACTATGCTCTACCTGATAGAGTGGCTCGCTTTTCCCAACCTCCTCTGCCTGGAAGCTCAGCTTTCCTGTGCAGACTCAAAAGAAAAAGAAAAAAAAAAAAAAAAAAAAGACCCGAAAGGGAGGGGAAGCCGACCGACGGGAAGATGCTTCTTTTTTAAAAATTTCTTTCCCCTCACCCCGCTCCTTTCTTTCTTTTATCCCAGGCCTGAGCAGAGTAGATGGCTGGCTGGGCACAGAGTAACAAAGCATCGGCCCTAAGGAAGACACTGGAGGGGCCTTCTAGTCGGAGTAAAAAAAAAGAAAAAAGAAAAAGAAAGAAGAAAAGAAAAAAACTATTTTTAATATATTTTCATATACAACTAGGAACAGTAAGAGCTCCAGGCTCACCTCCTCCCCGCCAGAAGAACTAGAATCATGCCAGCCAGCCCTCTAAACCGTGTCTCTTTTCCCCTGCACAGGCACAGGGTCTGTTTAGAACACCCACACGCAACTTTTTTTCCTCACCTCTGTAGGTTCTGCTCATGTACAGTCCACCATTCAGCTCTCCTTCTTTCCTTTTCTCGCCTTTTCCTTTTCCTCTCCAAAGAGCCAGTCCGTCATCATGAAACCTCTCTCTCTCTCTCTCTCTCTCTCTCTCTCTCTCTCTCTCTCTCTCTCTCTCTCTCTCTCATTTTATTAATAATAATAGCCCTTTCGACATAGCAGCATGAAGTGGCTGCCTTTGAGAAAGCACATTTAATCTTTACTGGCTCCCCTAGGCTTCGCTGAAGAAGAAGGCAAGGGGAGAAAAAAGGAGAGAGAGGAAAAAAGCATGTAAGGGAGGCTGCTGACGGACAGCAAGCATCAGGCACAAATCAGCGACAAGTTGAATTTTCCTAGACCACACTGCCCCCTTTCTTCTCGGCTCTCTCCCTGGGCTCCTGGAAAGCCCCAGTGTCTGGTTACAGGAGGCGATGGGTCTCTCTCTGCCAACCATGGTGCAGATTCCTCACATGCCTGCTTAAACCTCTGGCAGAGTAAGGAATCGATATCCCCCTCTAATCACCTTTAGCTCTTTGATGGCTTCCCCCCTTTTCTGAGAATCCACTTGGCTTCTCTTGCCTCTCCCCCGCCCTGCCAGGCTCCTGCATACAAAGCTTGCAGCACTGTCATCTCTCACTCCCTTCCATATCTTGAAGACAAGCCTCTTCTAATGTTCTCTCGCGCTTGCTCTCTCTGTGTTGTAGCGTGTCTCCTCCAGGACTAGCAACCCCGGATGCAGGGAGACATCTCCCTGACTACTAATGAGATCAAAAATACACCATCAGGTCAGGGGAAACTAGACATTGTACTCTACAGATTCAAACATCTGTGTGTATGTGTATACATATATATATGTGTATGTGTGTGTGTATGTATGTATGTATTCTTTTGCTAGACCTACAGTTCAGGTAGCTCTTTTTCTAAAGTGTGTGTGTGGTGGGGGGAGGGGAGATCCAGGTGGGTATTGTAAAGGAGTGAAACCTCGGCTGCAATGTGGTTATCTGACCAATTGTCTGGCATCCACACACATTCGTGAATGAACGCAGGTGAGGCTCCTTGTGAAATTTTTCCTCCCTTTTTTTTTTTTTAATGGACAGATGGTCAACAATGCCCAAACATTTCTTTGAAATTGTTGTGCGAAAGCATAAAAGAGCAACGACTCAAGTCTATATTTAAGATACTCTTCAGGCACATAATGATCACAACGCTAAACCTCACGCCTTTCAACGCCTGGGTTTTGCTGGTTGCCTCCGGTTGTAGCATGCACTAATTTGCCACTTATGTTCCTGGGATTTGAAAAGCCATTCTATCAGTCTCCTCAGCTCAGCCTAACCCTTGGCTTCCACTGCAGGCATTCTCCTGATTCCTGAAGCGTTCGTAGCCTGCCATGCGCATCAGATACATGCATACTTTATTGATCAGTCTAATGTCCCTCGATAATGATAAGCAATACTTCAGATGGCATAAAAAAAAGAGGGGGAGAGAGGGAAGGAGGGAGGAGACCAAGAAAAAAGAAAGGCATCTCCAAAAGATGAAGGGAGCAGCGTGCAGCGGTTCTGTTGTCACCCATTTTAAATGCTTGCCTTCCATACAGTGTCCTGCCAAGGAAGGCACCACCCCCCAAATCAGGGTCTCTACCTATCTATAAACACAGTGGGTATATTGCTATCTTAACCCAATTTTCCCAATGAGGCTAGAATCCTGCAGACAACAGACAGTGCTGTGTTAAAATAGAATACGGGGCTCTGCAAATAGCAGGGAAGGAGGGGGAGACAGCCAAGGATGCAGGTTCCCTGCAAGTGGGTGTTTTAAAAGGTGGTTTCTTTGTGCTCATCACAGACATTCATTGTGCTTTGTCTCTGACCGTGAGACTTTAGAAGCGCGGCTGGATGCCAAAAAAAGGAAGAGAGGAAAAGCATATATGAGATGAAGAAGCAGAGGAAGGGAAAGAGAGGAGACGAAGAGGGAAGGAGATGAGGGAGAGAAGGAAAAGGAAGAGGAAGGGGAGGAGGAGGACAAACAGGCAAAAGAGAAGAAGTAAAAGAATGTTGGAGTATCTTTAGCACATTTTTTTCCTTATTGTCATGACTAGGAAGGAGGAAGGCATGTGCCAGGAGTTGGTGACTGGGTGAGAATATTTTTCAGATTTGGCTAATAGAGTGTTTGCACTAGACTGATGAGAGGGGGGAGGGAGGGAGAGAGAAAGAGAAATGCTAAAATAATCAAAAAGGGTGTAGCTGTCAAAAAAAAATCTTTGACTCATTGGGTGCCTCCCTGTTAGACCAAGATGAACTATCCCTGAAGAGAGTCCTTGATCACCTCGGTGTATATGAAGTCCCCAGAACAGGTCACTGTACCCAACTGGAAAGGAAAGAGAGATGGAGAACGAAATTCTCCTAGCCCCTCCTATTTGCAATAACAGTTTAGCATGACTTCCACACACTGAGCTAATTCATACTTGTCTGTGCTCACTCTGCTTACAAAGACACACAAATCTGTGACTTATGAAAGTTAGGCTAAGGAACACATCATTTTCTCCATACAACTCAGTGAGGTCTTTGGAGGATACTTATTTGAAGCAGTTAACACCTGACCCCAATTTCTGTGGGTAATTAGTGAGCTAGATAACCACACAAAGTGGGTAATTATTTAGTACCCAAGGGTACGCTAGAAGTGGGTAGTGGCTTTGTTAACAAAAGCATATCTCTAATTATTGTATCTATGATGGGTGTTTTAAAAATACCAGTTACTCTATCAAGTGAACCATGATAGAGAAGTAACTGTTTTACTGTCCTCAGCATATACACACACATCTCCCATCATGGTTCAGAATATTTACCTCTAATGTCCAGAGTGTAGAGAAGATTAATTAGTTAATGTCTGTAAGACTCTCAGAAGGTGATATGAACTGGAGGGCTTCTAAATACAGTATTAGTATTGTTATCGGTACTTTGGCTATGTTATCACTGGCTGAGAGAAACTGGGGGAGTAGATGCTTTTGTTCAGTCTATGCCTTGGTCTGATGGTAATGCTGAGACCACAGACGTCATAATTGTGATCATGGGAAGTGGGCAACTGCCTGACAGTCTAACTTGGCTGCTAAAGAGAGGGAGACAGTACTGAACTGATAGCTGACTCAGGTTAGGTCTGAGGAGCTGGGCTGAGAGGTGGGGAGAGGGAGGAGCAAGGAGCCTAAAGGGAGTTGAATCAGCTGGACCACACCCTCCTTCTACAGTCTCCCTATCATTCCCCTTTGAGGGCGCACAAGTACGTCCAGAAATCCCTCAAAGGAGACATCTGTGCAAGTTCTGGGATAAACTTAGCGTAATGACATCAGTTATATAGTATTTATTGTGGAGAATGACTTATTTATACATCTTGTGAGTTGATGCAAATGCATTTTGAAATATTACTGTGTTGAGGATAGGCACATACAGACCAACCTCGGATATCTTTAACCCAGAATTGAAACAGTGAGGGGAAAAAGCAGTTTATTGTTTTTAGAAATCATTCCTAGGATGAGAAGGGTACTATTTATTTTTACTGAGAAAGAAAAGGAAGAAGGGAGAGGAGGAGGGGAGGATAGAAGGGAGGAGACAGAGAGAGAGTCCAAGCATGCTGCTTTGGGGACCCTGATCCTGGAGATCAACCAAGCTTTGAAAATAATAAACAAGAATAGCAAAAAAACGAAAACTCACTACTTTTTCTGTGAATGACCATCACATTGAGTCTGTTTTCTGGCAGACGCAGGGCAGACAGAGACCTCTGTAGTCCACATCTTCAAGTGGGTTCCCCACACTTTTTCTTTCAAACAAAATCAACCTGGGGACCAACCCTAGAGGTCTGGGAGATGCAAGTATGTGGGAAGGGTTAAAAAATATGCAAAGATGTTGTATTCCGTGCAGTGGATGGTACTAGGGAACTGAGAGGAGAATCGACCCCATCCTTTAGGCAACAGGTACCACTGCCAAAATCTAAATCTAATCCCAGGACACACGCTGAAGCTGTAATTGGAGGCTAACTTTGGGGTAAATATATTTGAAGAGCTGGGAGGAAATTTCTCCAAAAGCCATCCAAGTCAGTCTTGTGACCTGGAGACCCAGTGTTTGTCACCCCCTCTCTGAGCTCAGAACTACAAAGGCTAGCTGGCATTCTCCAACCCGCCCAGCTCCTTTCAAACCCACAGACTGTGCCAGACTTGGCCCCACCTCCCCCTGCAACAGATTCTGTAGCCCTGTTCCACACTATGCTGCAGGGAGCCAGATTTCCATTTTAATTGTCCTACCTGGCTAGTCCCTCGGTCACTTGTCCTGGTTCTTGATTCTTGGCAAGATTTCAAAGGCCCAATCAATTGTTTTGTCTTCCACAATCTTAATCTTTGACACCTCCGGTTTCCTAGTTCCCCCAAATGCGGTCCTTTCAAACACAAAAATGTGACTCTTTTGCAGTTTCTTGCGTGTATGGACACCACTACCTCCTTTCGTTGGCCTTTCTCACTCTTGTTTAACTTTACTTTTTTCTGCCTCATGTAATGGAGGACCCTGAAGGAAAGCCAGAACTAACACTTCTTTGCTTCTCTCTGGACTACAGCATTTCAGGCGACCCAAAGTAACCTAGGGCATTTCCTAAAAGCTTACCTAAAAAGAGTTAGAACCAACTGAAGAACAAGTGTGCGTGCGTGTATGTGTGTGTATGTACAGAGAGATACAGAGACACATTTAGAGAAAACTGCCCTAACTATAAGTGCTGCAGTAGGAAAGTCCCTCTGTGTGTGTATGTGTGTGTGTGTGTGTGTGTGTGAGAGAGAGAGAGAGAGAGAGAGAGAGAGAGAGAGAGAGAGGAGGAGAAAGAGACAGAGAGACAGAGACAGAGAAAGAGCACCTACAGTAAGTAGTTCTATCACAGTTCCCTTACATTGTATGACTCTGATAAAGCATTTGCCTTTCTGTGGACAGGTGGGGTCAGCTAGAAACTGAGTCACAGCAGCCGCTGGGATTGGATGGAATAGAAAAGGAAGGCAAATTTCTTTAATTCACCATCTCTTTCTACTTCTGTCTGGGTTTGGGGGCTAAGACTAGAACGGCACCCCCTATGCATCTCCAAGATACCATGGCCCTGGAAATTGCTCTTTCTTCCTTGATTCCTGTATACTCTTACTACTAAGTCCTTATGCTTCACTCTTGAGATCATCTTTTCATGGTTCCTCTAACAGTGATCACGGGGTGGGGGGGGGCTTCTGCATTCTAGATGCAGAGAGCTTGCCTTAAAGTCCTTGTCTTTAAAGATATCATGAATGTTTTATAGATGCTGAGAATAGGGTTCAGAATAGGTGTCTCTGCCCCAATAGTGTAGGACAGTGCCAGGATTTGAACCAGGTACATTTGCTTAAGTATTATTTTGCCTTTGCATTGTTACAGGCTTTTGTCCTGTGTTAATGTAATCAAGCTTTCTGATTGGTCTCTGTAGACTCCCTTGCTTTCTCCTGTGCATTTTGCACTTTACCCCATCCTCAGA